CACGGCAACATGGAATCTATTTGTTAAATAGAACGTGGGTAGCGTAGCCAATCAGGGGAAGGCATTCGTGACAGAACGCTAGTAGATTTATACTGAAACTCGACAGAAACACGGTACATGTTTTCTATTTCTTGAATAAAATGTAAAGAAAACAGAATACAAGCGTTACACTGCCGGTATCATTACGAATTAATTCGATCTGGCTTGATGCCCTGATCTGATCTATGCCGATATATACGGTGAGATATTGATGACAACATTAACAATTAATTTTGGAGACTTATACCTGTTTGTTTATTCTCAGAAAATGCGCATTAGTTGATAGTTTTTAATCCGTTCCTTGTGATCTTAGGTTTGTCTGCGTGACTAAAACCCGCCACTTCAACCTTTTATTTGTTGCCAAAATTTATTAAATCGCGAGCGATTTAATCAATTTTGTGTAAAGCGTGGGCTCGGACACAAATTAAAACGCTAAAAACAGCCTCTCACAAACGCAGTCCCCTTCAAAAAAGGAATAAATAGTGTCTTGAATCTGCACAGTGTGGTTGACAAAATCAAAAGCAGAAACTGCCGTCAATTCAGCGTTTTATGCCTGTCTTTTAAAAACAAAATTGATTGTAACCCGCGAGTTTCCAGAACCGCCCTTCACAGGAATCTCACATTAGGAACGCAAAGAATGGTTACACGGGAATTTCTTGCGCAGGAGTGTAGCAAAGGCACAGATATACCTCATCTCCACGTGACTTTGGTCACCTGGACACGAGGCAAAAAAAAAATCTAAGTTGTTTCGGTGTCACAGATGATCGCCTGGAAACGTTTACAACGGGATTTTTTAGTTGAATGAGTACAAATTAAGTTGTTGTTGTTGTTGTTGTTGTTGGGAATTACAAAGGCAAAGCGTTAAAATACTACTTCGAAGGCAGTGGATCTCCGAAAATGAAGTTATTTATTTCAACTTTTATGAAACAGAAAAAATAGGCTTACCCGAAGGCAGCACATCAATGACGATATTGGCTCTCGCCATTCAACAGTAACCAATCATCGCCAAAATGATCCAAGCGATAAAATCTTTATGGGCCTAATTAAAATTCATACTACTTACGTGAAATACGTCTTGCTCAAAAAGGAATCCAGAATCAAAATCAGTCATACATACGTAAGCTTTATTAACGTGCCTTTACATCTAGCCGATGGGGAAAAAACCTCTCTACTTATTGGGGACACTTGAAATTACAGGGCATTACTGCACTGATAAAGAAGGGTCAATGCTGGTCTTGCACCGAGTAGTGTCTCAGACATGCTACCAGTAAAAGTCCGCGTAACTCGCTCAGAAACGTGACTCCAATATACATGTAGCTAGATTTTAACAAATCTAATTAAAATGCATTTCTAAAATATATCATGAAAAATTTCACAAATCTCACAATATTGAAACAGGTCATGAGCTGCAGAGGCTGCACCAGTTATGGCTCGAGCCCTTCTCTAAATTAACGCTGCGCTTCAATGAACGCTGCTATGAGACCTATTAATTAAGTGTCTGCCGTAAGATACAGTTTCAAACCTGAGTACATGTATGTTTTTTTTTCTATCTTGCATACCCTTAGTCGATCCTAACAGCAAACTGCTCTTAATCTATATATAGTCTTAGATTCAATAGAGTAGCTAGATTAGATAGATATCTCGGGAAGTAGATTTTAAATTTATATATTATATAATATTAGATTAGGTAGATTTTATATTTAATACTTTTTTCCATAGTTCTACCAGAATTAATTGTAATTTATACTGTCGTCGATTAGCTCTGTTAACCTAAACACATCGACACCGAGATAAGGTTAGTATTATAAAGTTATTATCAGAAAGTTTTTTTTTTTTTTCAGAATACCTCTAAAGGTGATTCCTCACATTTGCATTGCGCATCCTTACTGCGCATAATTTAT